ATTCAGCTTATCAAGAATCTCTTAGATAAGGTAATTTTTTCTACCCATTCTATATTTTAAAATTGTTTGAGGTTTTACTGTTCAGTTGTAGCCTTGTTTTCTAGTCATTTTCGTTGGTAGCCATGACTTTGAAAAAGTGCTTCTGCAGGTTAATGAAATGATCATCGGTGGCGGCATGGCATTCACATTCGTTAAGGTCCTCAAAGGCATCAGCATTGGCAATTCGCTTTTTGATGAGGAAGTTTGTGATTTTTCAAACATAAATGCTTTAAGCACTTTCGGCCCTTCGGAAAAAAAACGGGGCAGAGTTTGCTGGTATATTGTCTAACTTGACATTTTAAAGTTATTCAGTTTTTCGCTTTTTATATAAAGTGATAAAACAAGTTTTGATTTTATTCAGTCGACTTTGGCTGGCGTGACGTTCTATTAACCCTAATAATGTTAATTGGTTGATGTGGTCATTTAGGGTGCAAAAATAGTAAATGACTTGATGCAGAAAGCGAAAGAAAAAAATGTGGAAATCCATCTACCAATTGACTTCATCATCGCGGATAAATTTGCAGAGGTAATTGTATTCTATCCGTTATTCCTCTGGTGCGGGTATTTTAAATATAAGTTCTTAATTCAGGACGCAACTCCTGGAAACGCTGATCTCAAAACCGGTATACCCGAAGGTAAAATGGGTTTAGATATCGGTCCAGAATCTGCAAAGCAGTTCAGTGAAGTAATCAGCAGAGCTAAAACGATTGTGTGGAATGGTCCGGCTGGAGTTTTCGAGTGGGATAATTTTGCCGCCGGAACAAAGGCAATAATGGATGCAGTTGTTAAAGCTACCCAGGACGGAAGTGTTACAATAATTGGTTAGGAAATGTTAGAGGCTTTTTATGTTCCGAACTGTGTTTAGTAACTGAATTACTCAAAAAAAAACGTTCCAGTTTATACATTTTCTTTCTTTATGTTATAGAAACAGAAGCTCTAATGCACCGCTGATTTTCTCAGTGTTCTCTTAGAGACTTCTTAAATGCATTTATTTTCCTCTTTGCCTATTTGGCTGGTAGATATTGTTTTTTAGCAGCGACCGTGCTTTGGTTGAGAAGTAAGTCAAGAGGTCATTCGGCGGTGTTAAAAAGGATTTTTTAGTATTAGATTGGGACTAAAAATTCACTGACTAATAATTCTGTGTTCAGGCCTTTTGGGCAAGTGGCATCAAGGGCTTTTAGCAGGAGTTGAGGAAGAAGTTTCAGGGCTACTAGTCGTAGATATATGGAAGTGCATAAGAAGGTTTACGTATTCTCTAGCTTCTTGCATTAGAAAAATAGTAGTCTTGCTAGATGCAGTTACTTTAATGAGTTGCTAACGATTGATTGTTGGAGTAGTTTAACCAAAGTAGAGTTAGAAAGCAGGGAATTAAACAGTGAATGGACTGAAATGGGAAAGCCACGGGTTTTATTGTTTACTGAGGTTAACGTGTTAGAAAGTTATATTGATGCGCTCAGAGCATCGCTTTAGTTTTAGACGAGGACAGCGCTAGAATAAAGTATATTTAATTAATCCTGGGTGGGAACTGTTGCGGAGTAATTAGAACAATTTTTTAGGCGGTGGTGACACTGCCACTTGCTGCAAAAAGTGGAAAACAGAAGACAAAGTCAGCCACGTCAGTACCGGTGGTGGAGCGAGTTTGGAGCTTCTTGAAGGTTTTATTTAAATTTATCAGTTCTTTTGCTAGACTACTTCTAGACCCGTGTTTTTGTTCCAATCCAGTTAAAGAGGGCATTTTTTGCCAGGTTTTATTGAATGATGGGAGTCTTTGTGAAACTCAGATTTGTGATTTGGATGATATTTCTTGTTTTTTTGACGGACGGTGTGAAGCAAAATTATGACATTGTTTGAACTTAGCTGAGAGAAATTGTTATGAGAGTTTTTAATCAGGTTTTTGTTCGTTTTTAGACGTTTTCTATTTTTTAGCGCGCAAAGGCTGTATTTTCTTTTGGCCGTTTTTTCGTTTTATTTTATTGCCTTTATTTCATAAACAGCATGACTGTAAAAGTTTTTTTTATTTGCAAAGATTTCCCTATTTTCTTAGATCACTTGCGCCTGATTTTCCATTTTATGCTTTCAAGAGTAAGTGTTTTCAGGTAAAGTTTTGCCAGGAGTAGATGCTCTTTCATCTGCGTAAGTGACACTGAGTCACATTCGCTGTGATTTTGATAATGCTTCATTTTACAGAAGTAATTCAAGGTTCTTGCTAAAAATTTGTTTTCACTGTTCATTCTTTTTTCACTGTTACCGCTGATTAAGTTTTTCACGCAATTCCTTTTTGTATTCATTTCATTATTTTGTTAGCAGCTGCAGTGATATCTTAGAAATTAGATGTAAGAAAATAGTTTTGTTGTCTCCGAGAATTTTTCTGAAATATAGGTTGCTAATAACAGGTTTTCGAGTCCAACTCCAGCACTTAGTTTCTTTGAGCCATTTGTTAGTTTTAGCTGATGTAGCGTTCCATTCACATGTGTTTTGGCTTATTGCTTCCTGTTGCGGAGTTCGATTTCTGTTAGAAGAGTAAATAAAAAAGAATAAAGCCTCTGTTCTTTGGAAAGCAAATAACGTTTGGTTGTCGAATGAGCTCTTTCACTTGGTCATTTTGATATAGTGCAGGAACCAAATAGCGTACACATGTTGGGTGTTATGCTTGCCGAGCGTAATCAGTCAAATGACCGATTAGATTTTTATTTGTCAGGACGGAGGTAAGTGATTTAGAAATGACGCAGCTGATGCAAAAGTACGTTTGTAATAGAACGAGCAGCTATTTAGTTGTAATGTGGCTTGAGTCGGCTGTATTTCCTAGTTGGCGGTGAGTACTGTACAACAAGAAAGGCGGGCGAGGGAACCTGAATACATATTAAAGTAAAGAGGACCCCGGGTAGTACCGGACCCAGTTTAAACGGCTGTGGTATGATAGCTTCAGTTCGTAAGTTGGAGGCGACAGAATCCAAGATTTAGACTGTTGGGGGTCCACCATTTCGCGTAGGAGGGGGGTTGTTCTTACTCCTTCGCTGAAAGTTAGCTTAAAAGAAGCGCTCTTATCTTAGAAATTTCGATGTAAAAAGTGCTGGTGCTTCGCCACTGGATCTGAAGTGTAAACTTTGCGTTTGTTTAGTCCCGCTTAAAATATCTGATCACCGTTTAGGTGTTTCGTAAAACCAGTAACCGTAAAGTCACTGCACTTGATTTTCCTTTAGGCCTTTCATCGGATACGGCTCGGTGCTGAACTTGCGATTTCTTCAGCGACCCCGCTTTACTGCAGTCATGGAAGAAAATGCATTGTATGTCTCACAGCTTTGGTTGTCACGGTTAAATGAAAGTTGCTTATCTGTCCACTTAATTCTGAAATGTTTCCCAGCAATTAAAATATTTATTCTCTACGTCGTGAAGTCTCTCATACAGCTGCTGCTCAGAAGGATTTTAGTTTTCTAGGCTTCTAGTCTGTAAAAAAAAATTTTCGAGACTTCACGATTCTAAAGTTCTCTGATACGTGGTTGAGTCGTGGATTGTGCGGTGAGGTTTCCTTTTTTTCTCTTCAAAAACGTTGGCGACGGTCTAATACAAGCAAAATTTTCAAAATATTTGTGGTTAAGATCATTTATTTGCTACTATACAAGTGCATGTTGGTCATTTAAGCAATACAAGGATTGTTACAAAGAATGTTAAAAAGATCTTTGTGCAACAGCCTAGCTTCTGAAAATAATGCAGGATGAGATGCTTAGTAATTGTGGCACGGTGGGTATTAATTTGGCTTGTAGCGACGATTTACCCGAAACGACCTTTGCAGCGCACCGTTTCCTTCGTAAAAATCGAAAAATCCTCTATTACGGTATAGGCGGACTACTACAAATCCTCCTTTGGCGAAACCGAGTTGCGAGAACGGTAACACTCCCTTAGCAAGGCTGTAGTATAATTACAGTTACTACTGTGAATCGCTGAATGAGGAGGGGATGGAATTTCAAACAAGGAAAAGAAAACAGGCAACTTTAAACTAGCTGAGAACGGAAATAATGTAGGTTAAGACCATACATATACAGCGAAGCGGTATCGGGCAGTTGATGTTTGTTTTTCATTGAACTGTCGCTTCGTGATCCTGCGCCCGATACGACATAATGTATTTGACATTTCGTGCCGTTTCCGGAATTCTCTTTGTTTCCCAGAAGGATGTGCTGTATAAATTTAATTGTATTCTTGAGTAGCGCTTAACGAGCTTGAGGCAGCCGGGTATAAGAGAACAAGACGTTTAGCAAATTAGCGAGAACTGGAGCAGAAGTGTAAGAGATTTAGGTTTTAAATGACTAAAAGAATTCTGGAAGTGAAGTGTTGTAGCTGAAACAAAAAAAAACTAGCCTGAAGGTTATGGTCATGGCCGGAGAAATAGCTTGTTACGTTGTACTTCTGTAACAATGGATTTAGTTTCTTTATCAAGCAACTAGAAGATCCATGAGAGCTTGCACTGTATATCGGATAGTGCCCAACAACGAACAAATAATCAGCTCTTAAGAGCAGCAATTAGAACGAAATTGGGTTTTTAATTTAAAAGCATTTCTGGTAAATTGTAGAGTTAAGATTTATCAAATCTGTATTACTTTGAGCTGTTCAATTGGTGTTCAATCCATTGAAGGTAATGTTCAGCCAATGTAACATTTTTCGGCTGGTGAGGATCTGTGTTCGTTTTCGAAAATAGCATCTTGAAGAACCCGAAGAAGCCGGCATGTTCCAAATCTACGGTATTGCCGCATAAGTTAATTGTATCTATCGCAATGATATCTACGCGTGTCTTCTGCGGACCAAATTCATAAGAAATGGTATAAAATGGCGCAGGAAAAGTCCTAAACAATTGGGTTTCTTTGGGGATCCACTCGTTAGTAGTTACAGAAATGAACACATTTAGTAGAATTTCTTGCAAAATGATAAATGCTTTTTTAAATGATGGCAATGCAACCATTTTTTTGACCAGCCGACGAAGATATTATTTGATGCTTATGCATCGGACATTTGCTGCAATTCATTAGAAATTTACAAAGTTTATATAGGTATCGCCTGCTTAATGATATTCAGAAATTAAAAATCTTAAAGTTTAGATAAAAATGAATCTAAAAGTACTACCATTTGTCACTTTTGTAAGTATACATAATTTGTGCGGTGATGTTGCCAAAATGATCATGGTTACCAGCAACGAAGTACCACGGTTTATCAAGTCCTGGGCTTCTGTAGACATTCTCGAATGTTTTCTATACAAATAGTAAACTTTTTACTGGGATATAAGGCTAATCATCTACAACAGCAAAATGAGTGGTTGCAACCTTGTAATTCTCAGTTAAATTGGAAGAAAAATCTTCAAAGTTTTATTTCTGAAGCCTTGAGGCCTAAACTGAAATACCAAATTCAGCTTAATATTATTTGTTTTTCTTTTCTGAATTTATCTGCTAAACAAAGCTTTTTTGTAGGTTTCTACCTTTTGTAAGTTGTGTAATAAATCATAAAAATAGCTTTAAACTTCCTAATACTACTTTGTTTGACTCCAAAAACTGTTAATTTTCCGAGTCTTTATTCGTGCATCGTTTCCTGGCGCTTTTAAGTCATTTTTAACAATTTCTTTTGGCATTTCCAAAATGTCTGGTTACTATTGTTTCTACCAAACAATAACAGGCTTTGGCGGTCAGGATTACTGGTTAGTCCTTGCATACTGTAAAGTTCATACTGGTCTAACTTATTCGAAAGAGTTTTTCAAATAAAAATGAATGCGAACATTCCAAACATCGGCATATAGATGCTTTTGTATGCAAAACTTTTCTGAGTTGAAAGACGCAATGATTTGGAAAGAAATAAAATAGGTTCACAAAAAAAAGGCAACTGTAGGCATAATAAACGGTTTGGGTTGATAAATTACTGTAAAGAATGCGCAAAAGATTTAGTAATAAACGGGACAATACCGCTGCACATGGCCACGGTTTTTATACATATGTTTACGGCTTTCTTTGGGTAAAGCATACTAATGCTTACGCAGGTTACTTCGGACACAAATTAGGAAGATTGTTCTGAACAGCATTCAATTTTTTCAGGTCGAAAAATAACTGAATATTTATTTGAGTCATAAGTTCATCTTTTACAGCTTTTGTATGATGGGCAATCTATTTGAAAGCATAATGATAACAGAATAGTTTGGGCAGTTAACGAAAAACTTAGTCAAAGATACGCACATTCATGCTGTAAATCACCTTCTACTCTTGTTTTGAACTGTTGAAGACCTTTTAATTTTTTTAGACTCTAAATTTCTAGGTTTATTGTGAAATTTTGCTTAGAAAGTTTTCGGAAAGGTGCCAACAGAACTATCACCTTCCATGCTTAAAAATTAGATCCAAAATGGCTAAAAAGATTGGGCTTTCATTAAAACAGGGTTGCTAGAATTATTCTGTCTTTGTCGCTGATTGAGCTACTATACTTTAAATTAGTATTAATTCACTAAAAGCGCTAAAAATTCGCTGCATTTTGCGTATAGCACATGCGCAGTATAGATCTAATATAGTTCAAGGCAAAGAAAGGTTGCTATTTGTAAAAACAGCGGAGAATACCATGTAAATAAAACAACACAATATTTCAAGCGCTATTTTTCACTCACTACCACTCATTTCGGCTTTAACATGAGAGTAGCTGTACGTTACCTGAAAACGTTTATCGTCTACACCATCAACGCCCGTGTAGTAAATATTATCGCCAGTGGTAAGTACAAATTGAGTCATGTTACCATCGTCCAAATTAGCCATTGCTTTTGCAACTTTTGTCTGCGTATAAGTATAATATGGGTAAACGGGGAGCCCTGTATACCAAAAAAACTTTTTTATTTCCTATCTGGTAATGATAAATAATAGTCTAATTATGTGAAAAGATAGAACCTTTATTCCTTGTAGCTTATCTGCTTGTCACGCGGACAAAGCATCAAATTTGTTCCTAACTAAGAGGGAACACTTATAACAAATTGACAGAACGGTTATTTATAGTTAATTTGCTTATTTTCGAGTGTTGCACATCAAAGTCCGCTTGCCCATAGAATTTAGAAAATGGAAAATCCAAAAACTGCTTATCTCGGTAAGTATGACTGCTCATGCTACTAACCTCCTATATCACCAATTAAAAAAAATCTCAAAGAATTGAGTTCCAGATGAGAACAAACGCCTCCTTGGGTACACTTTAACCGGTCACCAGCAACGTTTAATTCCGAAGCTACTAAAAAAAAAAAGAAATAAATTACATTCAATAAATTAAACTCTTTTTTGCAGATTCGAAACACAAATTTGGCCTTTGGAAAGTCGATGCCAAAATCAAGCCAACAGTAATAATTGTTTAACTAAAACATTTGTTGTTTTTTGCCAGACTCACTAAGAAAGTTTTTATTGCGCTTTAATGAAAACTTTTAAAAATGTTTTTGAAAGAATACCTTTTCAAAGTTACATATATTCTATTCTCATCTGTAAAACAGCATCGTCTGACCAGAGTTTCAAAAACAGCTTTGATAACTATAGTATCTTTAGTGGGTGAATTACACAGCCACTGTTCAACCTGGGTTGAGTGAATTGCAAAATTAAAAAAAAAGAACCTACAAGAAACACAGAAAAGCTTCAGAACGAGAAATAGTCGTGCTGAACGTGGAGAAAGTGTAGCTGCCATGTAGATGAAGTGAAATGTTTTAGGAGTACAATGACTTCTTAAATTTGCTGCAAATTCAAACAACAATGAGTTTTTGTCTGAACAAAAAAAACAAAAGGCAACAAACAGACTATACCACCACATTTCTTATATCCGAACTTGAAAAAGGGTTTTTAGAAGTGTTTAAAAAAGTAGAAAATGTCAAAATAAAAAGTTTCGTAATCAGTTACTGCAGTCAGAGAGCGCCACTGCTTAAGTATATAATATCTTGATTATGCTTATCACTGTCACGCAAAATTCTAGAAAAAAAGTGAAATAAATTAAAATGAAAAACAGCAGTAATTTGAATTGTGAAAAGAAATCGATAAAAAGAGAAAAGAAAAAGACTAATTTCTCTAGTAACTAAAACATTTTCTTCTTTTTTTGGACCTAATTCACCATATAGCAACAAATGAACTAGAATGGTAAAATTAAGGTTCAAACAGCGGCAGTAAAACTCCGATGAAAGCTTATCAAACAGGATAAACAGAAAGAATTTTCCTTCTTTTTGACAAATATTTGAAAAAACTCTACCATTATTTTTATCGTTAACTGTTCTTTCCGCTTACTCACTTCCACCTTCACACCTCCTAGTGTTATGAATTCTAGGAGATAATCAATAGAGAGAAAAAACCTTGACTCAATTTACTTAATAAATTGACTAAACAAAAGCATAAAAAAAGAAAAACTGTGCTAAGACAAATACAAAGGTTGAAAGAACAAATAAATAGAAAAAGAAAATATATGAAGATCCAGAAACAGAAATCACCAAAACTGTAGTTTTTTTATAGGTTCCGTCGATTCTTTCTATATTTTTTATGCAAATATTTGATAACTAACGCTCAACGTTCTCGTTAACCAAAACGATAGACAATAAAAAGCTCGCAGTCGATAAGTACATCTTTAAAAAACAGTACAAAAAAGCTTGTTAAGTCAAAATGAATGAAACCTTCAAGGCTACACTTAGGGAAAAAAACCAAGATTGTTACACATTAACAATGTGACATTGTTGACGAAGAGATTGGTAATCGGTATAGTTTTCCACCGTTAGTTAAATAAAAAGTTATACTATTTTTGTCACTTTTGCTTTAAAAAATGATTGATGAGAAACCAAAAGCATAAGAACTAAAAATTTTATTTTTCTCTCCTACGCAATTATTAAACTTTAATGTTCAAAAAATAGCAAACTCCACTCGCTCGCCTTAATAGTTTTACTGCATCTGTTTTCGCTCTAAAAACACTTTCCAAATTTAATTTAACTAACTACCAGTGAATATCACACAGAAATAAATGTTTGTCAAAGTCTTGAAATGCTTCTATAGTACTCGCCAGATTTTTTCTTGGCTTTTTAGGAAAAAGCCCAATAAGGTTAAGAGATGTTCATTAGATTATCTCAGTCACACTTGTACTTCGAGCCTAACAATATTAAAGTCAACAATTGAATAATAGAATAAATTAACACAAAGTTCATGTCATTCCCTCAAAGGCTTACACAATCGTACTTTGCCCGAATAGATCTGCTGTAGATGCTTTTAAGAGCCAAATCGTACGATAAGAATGATCAATTGTCGCTTCAAGCTTTCACTTCTTTAAACATGTGCTGTTCAGAAAACTTGTATTACTCTGTACTACATTTGTAAACAGATGCAGAAGTTGCACAAATCTGTCTACTTGAGAACACCTATAGGCTGCTTCCTCCCCGTTTATAACCACTCTTGAGCGTCTTGCTTCGACTTGTTAAGTTAAGAGTTACTCTCTGTACATTTCAAATCCACTTTCCTTTATTGCTTCAATTTGGGTCTTTTACTGTAATTTGAGCTGCACTTGTAACTTACTCTCTGCACTATTTTATTTTACTTTTTCACTTGTGTAGCACTAGTATTTCAACTTACATCTCTTTCATAAAACTTCTATTTTTAATGTTAATAAGTTCCAACGAGTGATTCTTCTGTAACATTCTTAACTGTCACTCTCCATTACCAGCTATTAGCCAAAGTCCTCTTAAGCTGAAATGTCCAAAATGTTGCTGTAAATGTCTTTTAACAGAAATCTGATTCAACCAATTCTTTATTTTTACTATCGAAAGCAAATGTGAAAAGAAAATATTTGTAAAATCATAACAGTTCTAGTGATAGTGATAAATATAATAAGCCGGTAAACAGAAGAGAAATTAATGCCAAACTTAAAAACTGAACTGTAAAGTTTTGAGAGACAGTTGAAAAAAAGCCGAATTGAATTGTCGCTTTCTTTAACATTCAAACGATTCTAGCTGTAGAACGACTGTAGGGTAAAATCTCGAGTATTGTTAAAAAGAGAGAATTTGCGAAATTAACTGACAATTATCAGTAATAGTCAACAAAGCCCTAGCAAATAAACGTTGAAAAAAACAGCTATTAGACTTTTTTCTATTTATCGCCTAGAATAGTCAAGAATTTTCAAAGACTTTTCACTAGTAAAACGATTAGCTGTCATAAAGAGAAAGAAACTTCAGACGAATTTTTATTGGGTGGAAAGCAAAACATCTGGTTGGCACCATTTCTTTGTTTAGCGTTTTTGCTATTCAAGCTTTTCAATGCTTTGCTTGCTTTTTTACTCTCTCTGTACACAAACACGTTCTGAGACGACTTTTTTCCTAAAAAGTTTAGACCAACTCAAAACAAAAAAAAAAATCATTTCAATTCTTCACTGATTTCAGCCAGTTTTAAATGGAAATCTTTTTCAGCTCTTTGCGAGTCAGTAAATTGCCGGCTTCATCAAGAATACAACTAATCGAGTTTATAGATTACTAACGAAGTTTCTGCCTTTCAACGATCTTCTTTTCAAAGCAGTTGAAGAAAACATAAATTTTTCAAGTTATTATCACCAAACTGCTGAAGAAGAACATGTGCGAAAAATTAAAATGGTAACTAAATGCATTAAAAAAATTGTAAAAAGCTCGTTAACGACCAAACTAACAAACACCTACAGTAACTACTGTAAACAACACTATGGTATAACAGTAATAATTTACTAATAAAAAAATAGAAAGGTGCCCACTCTTGATTATTCTAATGTTCCAGAACTTTTTTCGATATTGACAACACTGCGAAAATGAAGAGATTCCGGAATAGAACAACTGCTCCATTTCAATTTCCAGATGTTAAATATTGCTAAAACGTAGAGCTACAAACCGAAATATCTCTGAAAGACTGTTTTTGATTTCCGTAGTCAGGCTGCAACATAAAGAATTTTCAGCAGAGATATATCTTGTAAAATACCCTATCCTTGCTGCAGATTCATTTACTGCCTCCATTATTCTTCCCCCACCTGTTGATCGTTTTAAAATGAACATGAAAGTATTTCATCTCCTACAGTTCTTCACTGTACGGCGCAAGTTTTTCATACGTCCAAGAAAAAACTTACTGCAGAAGACCACTGTGTTAGTTGAAACAAAAAAATTCGAGAGAAATAACGTTCTGTAAGATATTTTTCCAAAATTTTCTATATAACGCAGAGATATTCATGGAGTATTCACCATACTCCAAATTTGTCCTGTATGAAGTACTCAAAATGTTTTCCCTGATCCATCAAAATACCGCATCAGTATAAGCTGAAACAGTAAAAAGCTGGAATGCTGCAAATATTCATAAAAGAATTAACTGAAGAATAATTGTAGTTTTAAAGATTAGGACAAAAGTCGTCCGCGTCTTTAACTGCAATGAATAGTAACAGTTTATGGCAAAAACACGTTAATTAATCAACTGCTCTAGATCTGCCTATACAAGTGTCCTTCTGCTGTTCTCTTAGGATATTTGTAACCATTTGAAGCCTCAGATTTATTGTATAGTAATCTGTAGAACTACAATCCACCACTTGAAAAATTCCTTCTTTCTCCCCTCTCCACCCAATCGTAGAAAGACGGTTCAAAAAGTTTTGAGAAGAGAATCTCTGCAAATGACTGAAGATAAGTTTTTGAAGAAATGAGATAAATAGACAGCGAAAGAGAAGCTGCTCTTAAACGTTTCGTTTAATTGCAGCTGCCACTAAATATCTCATTATAGTCGGCTGTTCTATGCTAGTTCGCACACTTTCCTCACGTTATACTATAAAACTTTTTCAAAATTTGCTGATTAGTACGGTTTAGAAAAAATAAGTAGAGCAGAAGAGAGGACCTGGAATAATAAACTTCCCGCTGAGTTACGTCTTCTCAAAGTTGCAAAAATAATCAGATTGCTGCTTGTCATGTTTGTTATTTAAAAACTGCAAACTTCCCCAACCTTGATACAATCCAACGGCTTTTAGCTTTCCAGAATTACTACGCCTTCTACTTTAAAATGCACCTCAATTTACTTAGCTGCACTCAACTGGTTTATAGATGCAATAAAAAAAAAGTTGTAAATAAGTGTAGGAAATAAGCGTA